ACCACCAGTCGCGTGTGGGTAAGTTGGCATTGCGACGTTGACCGATGACAAGGTTACAAGGCAGACGCCGCATACCTCGTATGACCGATCAGGTTAACAGTGAACAGGTCCTCACACAGTGTGTGGTAAGAACCTAGGGTCACATGGGCATTGGTCTAGCACAAGAACTCTCGAATGGGAGCTAGCAAGAGAACCTGACCGAGTGGGGAAACTGGACTGGGTTGTTGCTGTAGTATATGTTTTAAATCAGCCTACTTGTTCGTAATAGTTCGAAAAACCCGTCGCCAATTCGGTATATTAATTCCATAAACGTAGAAGATAGGCATTATCAGTACACCGGTAAGCCCGCACCTACACACACTCGAAACTGTGATCTTAGGATTACAACGCTGAAGCTTCGTAGCAACCGTGCCCCTGCCTTAAACTAAGTGAACGGAGCTCAGATTGCCTACAGCACGCTGAAGCCTGATCAGTGAGTGGACGAAGATCACTACCTGCCATCAGAGCAATTCTACACTCGTGTGGCGGAGGTGATCCCCGTTTCACCGCAAAGCAGAGAGAAAGCACTGGCGTTAATGTAGCTAAACGTGAACACAGGGTTGTGTAGCCAAATTTAGCCCAGTCAATTTATCACTTAAGCTACAGCGTTTGACTGAGGGAGGATGTATACTAAACCCCGCTTCGTTGTGACTTCAATGCCGAATGAGTGCAGTTTGGAGAGAACAGTGTTACTTAATGGATCAGAAACCTAGGCGCAGCCAGAAACACTCAGCTTCTTGACCAAGGTAAGTTGAAGGATGAAGATGGGGAATGCCACCACAGCACCGATTGGCTTTAGCCAAATATTAGTGAAACCCTCTACACCTCGGTCGGATAAGTCTGCAACATCCAGTAACAAGTATGATCCCATTGTGTTATTTTTGTGACATTAAAGACCAATTATACATTTAGCTATCGACCGGGATACGATCCGTGCAACAGTGTGGTTAGACGTAATTAGGCCGCATGTTATTATTCTAAACAATAGGAACAATGACCACTTGATCGTAGTCTTTGGCCATATCTGGTGGGTGGACCGGGTGAGCAATACTAAAGTCCGCCAGTTGATCTTGGGGGAAAAAACTCTGGTTAGCATAGGTCAGTCGCTTATGTTGGCCAGAGTGTAGCGTATGCAGTCGACCTCCCTCCTCGGTGTGCACTGCACGCTGTCGCTGCACCAAGTTGAGCGAAACCGCGAAGTGGCCAGTTGACAAAGTGGCATAAATTTATGAAGAAAGCGAACGAAACTTCGTCAGACTAGTGGGTGCCGTCTTCGTGGATAGGGACTTCAGGATGGCCCACATCAGTGATTTGGAACCTCATTGAACATGGTACAATCGAGGAGCAAGTGGAGTTCCTGCATATTGTTAGTATTCATTCTATGCCGAATAGTTTTACGCATTTCCTTCTTAATCCCATTCCTTCTGGTTTGCGCCCAAATGCTCTTTGTTGTCATCGTTATTTATTGTTGTCCCGGTGAAGCGAGTGGCGCAGCTGGATGCACCGTAATTCGCTGCCCGAGTCATCGTTGTTTAACTAAACTGAATTGTATGCCACTCATGGTTTTCGAGTAAAAATACGCAGTCCCCACTGGGCGTCAGTGACAATGCTGTTTGGACGCGCCCACGGAGTGGTAACCCCCCCCTGACCGACCATGTCAGCATATGTCAGGGTAACATGTGTCAAGTATGCATGTCGAACGTACGGAGGCGAAATACCAATGGAAGCAATCACAAATTGGTGTAGATCAAACTGCAAACATGTTTTCGAAAATTCATATATTGCTTCTCTGCCGTGAATTGGTGGAAAGTGAATGGCCGTTCTCTAGATGTATTGAAAACTGCAATCACAATACACCCCTAAAACGTCCACTTCATAATTTTGTCGGAGACGAATGGCACCACATTAAGGAACCAACGACCACTGTCACGAAAGAGACGATCAAGCGCGCAAACTGTAAATGGCTTGAACAAAAGTGCGACAATTAGTGTCAGTGAAGAATGCGGAATTTGCCGCAGATAAAATGGATGCTAAAATGCGGAGAATATAGATGAGCTTCGCAATGCGTATCGGTAGTTGGTTGGGCAGCTCGGTCAACTCGAAAGTGTGTGGCGAGCGGAGAAGATGGAAGAGATCGAAGGTTAAGCGCAACACCGCCAGTACAAGAAATTCTATGATTCATTGAAGACAGTGCAGCCTATGACGACGCAGGTGAATACTGCTCCGGACATTAACTACACACAGTCCGTAGGTAGCATGAGGTGTGGCGCAACCACTTCGACAGTCTATTGAACAGCCGTTCGGATGTTAGCTTTGAAACGCTACAAGGGCAAAATTTGGAGGACGGTCTGATCACACCACGGGAGCGCATGAAGCGCAGAGAGCACCTGCTCAGCTGCGAAATGGTAAGCGCACCAGTACTGAGGAGATACCGGCGGTAGTACAGGAGAATAGCAGAGTTGCAATGCTACATATGCTACATCACTTTGCGGACCACGTTTGGATCGGAGAACGAATCTCTGTCGAAGTGAAAGATGCCTTTTTGCCCTGTACACTTATATGTACAGAGATAAGGGAAAGAAAGAGTATCGCCAACTAGCATGACATTAACCAGTTAAGTTACATCGGGAAGGTGCTTGCCCTAACTTAGCTCAATCGCTTCTCTTGTCAGGTCCGTGAACCAAACGCCGAAGAGAAGTATGGATTCCTTTCGGGGCCACAGCACAGTCGATATGGTGCTCGCGGCTCATCAAAAGCAATAGAATCGTCGTGAGCGGAATCAACTATTGCGCTTGTTGCTAGTAGACGCCAGGAAGGCACTTGACAAAGTGAACCGCGAGACACTGTGGAAAGTGTTATGTAAGTCCGGATGTCTAGGTAAGTATGTCCGCTTGATTATACGTCTACACAGTGGTATGCGGGCGAATGCACAGCTGTATGAACAACCCTCAGCGGACTTTGATTTTGTCCGTGATAAATAAATAAAGGAACGTTTTATTCTCGACTGTGCGAGACGTCTAAAAAGGCATGATCACTATGTCATAGCCAATACCCAGTTTAGCTTTTATTTAACTGATAAGTAATAGGACATTTGATGAAGTTTTATCGATTCTTCCCAGCAACTCATAAGTGGGTCCCAACAACGGTGCGCATTCTCCAGCTCTATCAGAGCCCGAACCCAAGACCCCTGGTGGCTTGGGTCACTATTCAGCAGCTGATGTTACTAAGTCAGCTTAGTAAGTTAGCTGGGATATGGTGTGACTCATCTTCCAATGATATACAGGTTACTCCCCTTGCATAGGACGGTGGCTAGTCTTCAGAAATCACAATTTCCACTAACAACTAGGTACGCACAGCATTTGAAGGCTAGTTGGACGAATTGTTCAGCGCCGATGTGTAGGAGTTTTGATTATATTATGTAACGACCACAAGGTTTTATGATCTTAGTGCACTTGAATACGGTGTCCGTCTCGAGCACCGCGTCGATGGTGGATTGCTGAACACCCATGGTTTCGTGGTTAGAACGCCAGTACGTGAGAAAATCACCTGCTCGCCGACAACTGTGCTTTGTTTGCATACAGCGAGGATGAGTTGCAATATGCGACAACGGCTCTCCCTTCAAGGTTAGTCAAGTTCGAACAACTCAGTAATTGAGGCAAGACAGTGTCTTACTCAACCATCACTAGGAATGGAGTCTGTGTGCTTGTTGCAAAATACGTTTTGGAGAACTCAACAAGACTTTGCCACCTCTCAAGCATGTTGTCAACAGAACCACAGATGATTTGCGGGCTACGCACTCGCGTATTGAAGGCCAGGGCAGTATGGGTAAGCTGGAACATCGGGTGTAGGAGATTCATCAGCTTACCGTTGGGAGCAATCTGAGGGTGTACAAGTCAATGGTGCTTTCGGTTCTTCTCTATGGCAGTGAAAGCTGAACGCAATTCAAGAGTGATGGGGCGATTCTACAAGCAATACCTGCGTCGGATTTCGCTTAATAGTTGGTGTAACAATGAAGTGATTACACGGAGCTGTGTGCATAAAGTGGATCGCATGCTGTTGCTGTGACACTCTAGGTGACCCGGACTTGTCTGGCGTATGAATGCGATCAGGATGCCGATGGGAATGTTGAGTGGCCAACCGAGAGCACGCAAGCGAAATATCGGTAAACCGAAGCTACGCAGCAAGACATGTTCAAAGTGAGTTAATCAGGAATTAGTGTTGAATTAGGGTGCTGGCAAGCAGCAGTAGTGAATCGCCGACAAGTACACGATCACATCAAAAATTCCAAACTGACAACAGAAGGACGTCTAAGATCAAGTTGAGAGGAAAGGAGAAATGATTTCACTAGGATGAAAAATTAACCGCTGTTGGAAAGACGCTGGACTGCTCATAAACCCTGAAACAACCCGCAGTGTTTAAATACCTAATAAGAGGAATGTACACATTTTTGGGAACCACAGTACGAACAAATACGTCGATTAGAACAAAGTGGTAAACCGAGGCAAACGCGCTACTGAAGTTGAGCAGCACGAATACGGTCGATCTACAGCGTTAGTGACATTGGGCAGCCATCTAATCCACTCTCATTCGGAATTCAAGTTCTACATTGAGGCAACAGACAGAATGGAAGCCGATAAGCATGAATTAGCCTACGAATTGGATTGTTTAAGAACCACTAAATTGGTGGCTGCAAAGTACAGCGCCTTGCAGTTTCTCCACCAATCGACGGCACAGTAGTTGAGGTGTTTCTCACCTTTAGTTAACGTGTAATGATGATGATGACGCTTAGTGTCTACACGGTGGGCGCGAGACCCGTTCCCATACATTGGTACTGCCTCTATCAGGGAAATGAGTATACGTCCTGAAAATGGGACACTGTGTCAACATCAACGACGGTACTGACAGGCTGAAAGAACTCATCATAAATGTCTTGTAAGAGTGGATAAAGGGTAACTGCGCACCGTCTTTCCATGTGATCGAGAGCTCCATACAGGAAGCGTTGTCAGATAGCAATCGTCCTGTGGAACGCGTTCGTATCTTCAAGAGTTCGTGCTTCAAAGAGACCAGCATTGGATGTAACCGACCGCGTCGTTTGCTAGCTCTGACGAGCCAAACCAGCCGAGCAAGTCTACGGCGAAGACGTAGCCGCAAACGTGATGCATCGACATCGTCTGCATCAATAGACAACTGGTCTCTCGCCCAGGCGTACATGCGACCTAGAGTTGAGTAGCAAAAAACGGATCAACATTTAATGCAGTGGAGATACGGGATTGAAGTAGACGTCTTTCGAAATATCGCATACACAAATAGCCCAAGATACATTAAACAGACAAAAAAGGATGGGAATTAAAACGCTGAAGCTGAGAGATGGACAAATAGGCATCAAGGGAGAATAAAAGGTAAATCGGGGAAAACAAGCTCCCGACGGTTGTAGATTGTGGCTAATACAGTTCATCAGTTATGATGCGTGCACTGAGTTGCAGTGGATCCAGTCATCTTGCAGTGTCACCAGAAAATTGACAACATCAACATTAATAATAACAATAATAATAATAGTAATTCATGAGAAAAGAAAAAGAACCCAAGTCTCAATGTGGAACAGCCAAATTGTAAATTAGTGAACAGGCACACAAGAGCACTGCTGATTACGTGTCAAATAGGGGATACAACTGTTGAAGTGGTCGATACAGGGGGACTCCGTTCAGGAAGATGACAAACAGTAAACAGACAGCAAACCTGTGAGTTTCCTCATGCTATCGCATTGACCGGATACCTCAGTGTCATCTAAATATACGAAGTATTGGAAAACCACTCACTGTGATAGCTGGTTTGCTGGTGTGTAGAGCAATCAATGTAGTCATCGTCGTCTTTCAGTAAGGATGGAGTAGTTGTATGGGCCGGGCATCCGTCAACTTCCTCGGTGGGTTCCGGCGGTCCACCTAGAAACTCTGTTACCAGGACCGGTTGAATCACACTACAGTTCAGTGAAGGCAGATCAGTTGCCCATTTCTCGCCACTGATCCAATCAGCGAAATACCAGGCTATAATGCGTGAAATTCGCTGGAATATAACTATGATCTTCCTACCTGCTCTTGTCTTTTCTGTAACATCAGCCACCACGAACACCGCCGCTCGGTTCCGAGACTCCTAATCAAATGACGTATCAGTGGTACGAAAACTCCGACCCGAACAACTCTGGGGAAAGATTTACGTGCCCAAAAAAGGTGATTTAAACAGATACCCATTCATTGTCCAACCGCCTGACGCTGGGAGTACAACCGGTCTTGAGTAAATTTATTCTCATTGCAAGTGATTAAAGTATGAATGCGATGTGTCCAACATATTCATCGGGGACGGCTGTCGTTATTAATCATGGTGAATACAGTTGACGATTAGGCATCTTAGAAGTTGGGCACTTAGCCAATAAGAATTAGCGAGTTGAATGCATCAACATTATTAGGCAGCGTAATAAACGAGAACATGTGTGAACAGGAAAAAGTGTAATCGAACTCCGCTTTGATATTATCTTCGTGGGTAAGGCGTGCATGTGCACCCATGTGTGACGGACCAACATATCTCTTATACAACCAGGAAGTCCGTAGGTGTTCAGGGAGCCCGCCCATGGTAGTCATTCAAGCTTAGTTCCATGCCGGTCGCCTCAGCGCAAACTCAGACGAAACCAGCTCGAAGTTCATTGATCAGCAGCCAGCCAATGACAGTGCTACTTACCTCGGAGTCCGCAAGCGATGAAACCGTTGGATTGGAGACAACCAACAAGAGCGTTGTTATGCTCCTGGTATATTCTGGCAGCTCGGAAGCTTCCACTAGATCATTTATCGTGAACAATATACTGTAGTCTCGTGGTACTGTTTCAACATTGTATTCCCTGGGGCTCAAATGAAGGTTTTTGACGAGACCTATGTCTTCTGATTTAAGAAGTGACTGGACCAGGATTTGAAGAGCCGCAGCGGTAATCGTCGTGGCACCGGAAACAACATCAGGTTGGCTTTCGGGTATGTGACGTCCCTCAATCGTAAACGACCCAATAGTAATGCGATGTGATCGCCTCGACAATCTCAATCACCTGTATGAACTCTTAGTTTTTTCCAACCTGATCTTTGTCAGAGTATCATTTTGTGCCTCGGCTGGTGTAATAGTAATTCACGGGGTCAGGGATGTTGTCTAAATATATACGAACACGGAAGCCTGGAAAATTTAGGTTGTTTTTGGGTTCCCGATAAAAATGAGTAATTGGCTGTCAGTGTATCCAAACAAACGTGTTCATCCCCTTGGGCCTCCAGCCCCGTAGATGGAAGACACCAATCGAAGCTAAATTCGAATTCAGTGGTAGGACAAAACAGAATAATCTGCATTCAGTCCAGTTGATCAACTATGATCCGAGTAGCGAAGTGTGGTGGATCCAGTTATTACGACTCATATCACAAGAATAACTAAATAGCAACGGCAAGACAGCGTAAGCAAAAACAAAAAGAATGTAAAGAAAACGGAAACAAGAAAGCGCGATAAACTAATCAGAACGGGAGGAAAATCGACAACCAGATGCAATAAACAAAATGCAGCAACGCCACTGACTACGTGAATGCGCCATGTCAGATACGGTCTGTTGTAATCTTCTCACAAGACGCGATTGAGAAATTGACACTACCGCTCCACAAAACTCCTAGCTTAACCGAAGGAAAAAGCAGAACGCCAATGACCTTGACAAAATAACGCATTAATCGCCGTCAACAAACACTGTACAACTACAGTGGACCTTGACTGCATTTATAGGTCACTTACTGCTCTTCGACTTCTAGAATTGGAAAATCAGCTACTAAGGTTCCCCATATCTTTTGCCGAAGTGTCAGGTGGTTTTTAGTCACGTGCAGAAACTAGAACATTCTGGAACGTTAGAAATGGATGCGATAATCGTTAATAATCGAGTAATCGCTAAAACAGTGGATTTCCTAGGCAATTCTTACTTTCTCCCGGACACTTCTCCACCTGTGATATCGTCCGAGGTATACAAGGAAAGCCTAGGATTACCTTGCGGTCTTCGGGACGGTGTCCTCTGCCTGTCGGTCCATCTCCTTGGCCGAAGTGCCCGAGAACTGTGTTCCGGTGTCCGCGTTCTGGATGCTTTGCTCGACTGTGTGCAGTCGTCCACTGCTTCCTTCCGCAAGTTGACACTTTCCACCAATAAACCGAACAGGACGTCGGTAGACCTCCCTTGTTCTGGTTGGCACAATGTTGGCCGTAACTGAATTGCATGCCGTGCACAGATCTGTGCGCCCACCATCACTTCATACATGACGTTTCCGCGCTTGCTTTTGACCGTCCCTGGCGTCCATTTCGCATGGCCTTCCCGATAGTCACGTACTAGCACCTTCTGTCCAAGCGTAAACGATCGCTTCTTTGCTCCATGCCGCCTGTTAAAATCCTGTTCCATTCTGCAGTTCCTTACACCAACAGAGAATTCCGATCGCGGTGGGATGACGTCGAAAGGCATGCGGAGCTTCCGGGTCATCATAGCTTGTGCTGGAAAAACTCCGTCTGACGCTTGTGGATTCGGTGTTGATCGGTAGAGAAAAAGGAACCGGTCAATCACCTCCTCTAAACGTCCCTCCTCTTTTGATTTGTAGAGAGCTCGCTTAAACCTATCGACAAACCTTTCTGCCTGGCCATTCAACTGTGGGTGAAACGGCGGGGAGCGAATGTGCTGGACGGCGCATTGCTTGCAGAACTTCGTAAACGTTACCGACGTGAATTGTGTGCCACTGTCAGTTACAATTGCCGCAGGACAGCCGAATCTGCTAAAGGTTTGGCGCAGTTTTGATACAGTGGCATTGGTGGTTGTGCTATCCATGAGAAAGACTTCAGGCCCCTTGCTGTATGAGTCGACTATAATAAGGAAAGTTCTGCCGTTGATCGGTCCCGCAAAGTCGAGATGCATGCGGCACCATGGCTTAGCAGCATTTGGTCACGAATAGAGTTCTAATTTTTGTAGCATTTTCAAGACACAGGCGCACTTTTGGCAGCGTTTAGCTATTTCTTCTAGTTGTTTGTCCATGAAGGGCCAGTATACATAACTGCGGGCAAGCGCCTTCATCCTGTTGATCCTAGGTTGCCCGGCGTGGAACTGCCGAATAAGACGCTCCTGAAGTGCCTTGGGGATGACCACTCTTTCCGAAAATAGTATACAATCGCTTAAAATAGTGAGCGAGTGTCTTCTCTGGAAGTACTGTTGCAACTCGGCAGATAGACATGAACGTGGCCAGCTTGTTTTGTGGAACTGTTGAACTTTCTTGAGCACTGGGTTTCAAAGCGTTTCGGTTCGTACAGCTTCTGCGGTAACTGGTCGACTGCGAAATGCATCAGTTGCCAGATAGTTGACGTCAGGTTCGACCTCGACCGAGTCAATGATTGTGTCCTCATGTTCTTGCTGATGGGTGTCAATTAGGCGTGACAGTGCATTTGCTTGACCAATGGAAATTGTCGACTGGTAGTGGATCTCGAAATCATACCCCATTAAGGTAAGAGCCCAACGTTGCAGCCGGTTGGCTGTGTAGGCCGGGATACCCTTTTTCGAACCAAAGATAGCCAGCAAGGGCTTGTGATCTGTCAGAAGCTTGAAGCGGCTGCAGTATAGCATTTCGTGGAATTTCTTGACCGCGTACACTATGGCCAATGCTTCTTTCTCAACCTGGCTGTAATCCCTCTCGGTCTTCGTAAGTGTTCTGGCCACATGGGCGATTGCTTTCTGAGATCCATCGATGTACGTGTGTGAAATTACTGCGCCAATCCCATGGCTTAATGCATCTGTGGTTGGGACAATCTCTTTGGAGGGATCAAAATGAGTCAAAAGCAAGTTTGAGGACAGCAGTGACTTGACGTGTTCGAAGGCATTCTGGCATTCTGATGTTCAGTTCCAAGTTCGGCCTTTGGCTAATAGCTTGGTTAACGGGGCACGCAGGCGGTGCATCTCAGGTAGGAATGCACTGTAGTGGCTGATGAGCCACAAAAGGAACGCAAGGACTGTAGATCTGTTGGCAGAGGCATTTTGCTAATGGTTTCTATGTTTTCCGGATCTGGTCGACGTCCATCCTTTTCGAGGATAAAACCGAGGTATTTGATGATCGGCGTGAAAAATGTGCATTTATCCTCACGGATCCGGAAACCGTACGACTGCATACAAGTAAGTACTTCATCCAAGCGG